ACTATTTTAGATGCGATTTTTTTTGTTTTCAACAACGTTTAGTCTTCATTAAGTATTTAGGTGTATTAAATTGATAACATTTTAAACATTGTTATAAATATTTTCATATATTTTGATTTTTTAACCAAATGTTTCAACCGTTTTAAATTTGAATTTGTTATTACATATTGGTTTGATTATAGAACGATTGTGAACGTTCCAGAAAAATTGATCAAATTGAAAATAGTTTGTTTGATTCTCAGCAATTCTCATTATTCTCAGCGGTAGGTGTTATATAACAATTACTATGGTTGTTGAAATACTGAATATAAATGGGGTTTGCTTGCAAAACCTCCGCGGGTGAAGTCGTCGGTAACAGCTAGTCTTTCAATAAAAACAATGAATATTTCGACAGTGCTACAAAAAATTAAAATGAAGATAACAAAAATAAAAATTATTCTATTTTTATAATTTTAATTATTGTAAGAATTTATGTAACAGCTTCATTTATAATTTAAATTTTTAAATTTTTATACTCTTTTAACACTTACAGTTGGCTTATTTAACCATATTGTAAATTTATAATATTGTAAAGTATTTTTTATATACATTCATATTTTTCTCTAATGTATTTTTATATGTTTGTCTTATGTTATTTTTTAATTGTTTTTTATTATAGATAGTTAATTACATACATACATATGTTATAAATACATATACAAATAAATATATACATAAATACATATGTTGCAAGATCGCATAGCTTATTAGCACTTCACTCGATTTCCTCATTTGTTAAAAAAATTTGTCCATCTTAGTTTGTTTTGATGCTGCTTTTCTGCCTGTTAGATACAACAACCACTTGATATTAATTTTACGTACAGTCTGTTATTTTATGCTGAAACTCAAAAAGAAGGTCTTCATAACTTGATATGACTCATGGCCTTGCTAAATTTCAGCACTACTCTTAAATCGGTGTCAGAATGTTCACTAGGTGGCTTCTCAATTGTATAAGCCTATTGACTCTCTTTGTACAATTCTTCATTTGTACTGTATGTATCCCAGATGTAACAAGTGCATCATTGAATTCTACAAATTCCTGGAAACATCAAGTATTAACTAACTAAACTTGGAAAATAAATACAGTATTAATGAAAAAACATGAAGTTTACATAAAAAAACATAAAAAATGGTTGGGGCTAGAAAAAGCCATTATTGTGAGTTACAGATCTGCTAAAAAGAGATAAAATTATAATGATTTGGTGGGATTTGGAAAAAAAATCCATTATTCCAAGAAGTCCATTGTTCCATGATTCAGTAAAACAAGATTCTACTGTATAGTAGTTAAAATATTTTAAGAATGTATGCAGTTTATGAATTAATCAACACATGAGAACCGTATTATATCCCAGTAACAATAAAACTTTAAATAAAACTAACGTTTTCGACCATATTCATGGTTTACTTCATGTTTTTGGCCAGTATAATTCAAATATGGAATGCGTCAAACAATATATTTAAAATTATCTTAAAATTCTGAACATTTAAAATTAGAATAAAATTTTTTAGCTGAATGTGCTACAATATTGATAAAAATATCTTTACACCACAACAAATAAATAATAAGATGCACTTCATGGTGTAGCTTAGGTTTTTAATGTTGCTCTCGTTTTTTCTCATAGCACCACACCTCCATGCATAAGAAACATTAGCAGCATCCTTTGTGTTAATACAGTTGCTAGCCAGTTCGGCTTTATAAACTTCTAAAGCCTCTAGGTTGCGAAGGTGCTCAACCTGACATGACATTTTTACTAATTTCGCCTTATGGAGGTGGGCTTGTATTTCGGGGTCCATGGCGTAGGTGGCTAGGATGGTGGTATGCCTTTGGTTGGTGATATCATACCTGTGCTTCTGTATTCTTTTGCTTAATGAGTGCTTCATGGATCTGATGTATACAAGATCACATTGGTCTCTGAGGGGGAACCATATAAACACCAGGTGCCTGACTTACCTTGGTCCTGTCCTTGCTGTTGCACAATAGCCCATACACTGTGCTAGATCTCTTATAGGCAATTTTTGTGCCTTTATGAATTATTGGTGATAATTATATACCAAAAAAAACTGTAATTGTAATAATGTAATATTAATGACCTGTTATAAAAATCAACTGAAGAGGACAATGTAGCTAAAATATATTTTGACTGATAGGCAGTTTTTGTAAAAAAAAATCGCTATGCAAATGTTTTTTCACATGTTTCACGTGTTAAATTAGTAATTAAATAAAAAGTATAACCGTGTATGATAAGCCCAAAAATTGTTATGTTAAAATGGTAAAACAAAAACTAGAGATACAAAATAGAAGGGCAAGAATTACTAGTCGAAATGTTAATTCATATTAACTTTTACATTTATTTATTTTACCAAAAAGAAAAAAAAGTTTTTTTTTTTTTCTTTTCTCTTATGGAAAAAATGTATTTAAATTTATTTTTACTTCAAAGTTATTCAGAAATATGGTATTTTGCAAATGCAAATTTTAAAGTTTGGTTTTGTAATCTGATATCTTATTTATGTAATTTGATATTTCAAAAAGTCTGTGTTTTGTAAGAAAAATATCAGCACTATGAAATATGAAACATCTATGAACAGATAAAGTAGTAAACTATAAGATATTTATAAAAGGGAAACACAATACCAAATTATAGTAAGAGAAAAAGATAAACATATGCACCATATAAATTTTAATGATCAAAAACTTGCTGTGAAAATCTTACGTAAAGCAATATACATTCTATAAAAGTTACTTAAAAGTATGTAAAGTAAAAAATTTACATAAAATTAAAATAATTTTGTTAATTTAATGCAACGAATATTGAAAATGTCATTCATAATGTTAATATACTGTTACAGAACTTGAAAGGACAATGACAAAGTATAAACATATGTTTGAANTTCTAATATATTAATTATAAACTTTGTTCAAAATATTGTTAATATTGAATAATAATCTGAGACAAGCATTTTTAATTTGATTATTCATTTTTGTTTTAATTAGAACATAACATGCTTAACTTTAGGATAAATGGATGATTAGTGTATCTTTAGGTACATAAATTTTTTTAAATAACTTTTTTTTTATCTTGAAACAATGTCTAAATATGATAAAGTAAGAAAGGAAATTAACAGATGGAATAAGGAAGTAAGTTAGTAGATTCAAGAGATTCTTGTTAAAAAGGATATATTTTATTTCATCTTCTAATGAATTTTTAGTCTCTGTAGATTTGTACTTTAGACTATGCTGGAGGCAGAACATTGAAATTATAATGTAATGTAAAATATTGTTATAAAAAATGTAGTAGTAGTGGTAGTAGATCAATGGAACTTTTCAAGAAGACTTCAAATATTATAAAATGTTAATTTAAGAAATTATTTAAATAAGCATATATAATTCAAGTTAAGTTATTTTAATAGATTTTGTGTTATTCAAATGTATTGTATTGTTAAATTGGAAATATTTAGAAACACCAGATGGTTTTATAATTATCATATAATATTAATTGCTTCTAATTATGTAGCAATATTTCAACATTAAAATAAAAATGTTTTTGTTCTGTATAGTATTTCTTTTATTATTTGTCATTTAAAATGACATTCATTTAATCAATAAAAACCATATGTTCATAATGTAACATCAATTTCTCTACGAAGAAAACATTGATCTTTCTTAATGCTGTAAGCAGAAAGAATAGATCTTAAAGTAAAATGATTTTATTTTAAAGAAATTTTACTATTAAGGATTTTAAATCTGTTTATTCAGAGAGAAGAAATTGTTAAGGATGGTTATAAATAGTCCTTTAACTCAGCTAATATATTAATTATAAAAATTTATATTGTTTCTTTATAATGTTGTTAATTTTCTTTTATTTTGTTTAAACCTTAATTCAGAAAAGTTCCTCCAACATAAAATCTAAACTAAACTGTTTTATTTAGAGTACAAAAGAAATTTTGATACATTTACTCAAGCATTTTTAGGTTAAAAAAGAATAAAACATTATTTAGTGTGTTTTTATTGTTAAACAATGAAATTAAAGTTAGAGACCTAAATATTGCTTGTAGAAGTAAACGTGCCAAGATGATTAATTTTTCATTTGTTAACTGATTTCTACTGCAATTTTATATTAAATGTTACTCTCTGCACTAAATATTTTAAAGCATTCTGAATTACATTTTTTATTATTCAATTAAAATTCTAAACTTTTTCTCATTTGTTTCTCAATTTTTAATTAAGAAATTATGTATTTATTGTATTTAATTCTATATTATCTTGATATAATTTGTTATATTCTTATAATATTGATTTATGCTGTAATGATAAAGTTTCCGAATAAATTTTTTTTACTGATATGGCTATGGCAATGCTATCTCTAACTTCAAATTTTAGTAATAATTAAATTCAAAAGCTATATTATAGCTTGAAAGCAATATTTATCTTATATTTAGGTATAATTTGAGATATTGGTTGTTTACATAATCTTTTTTCTTTTATTTTCAGAAAACTGATTTAGTTGTGGCTATAAAAAATATCACTAAAAAAAACTTGTCAAAATCACAAAATTTATTAGGAAAGGAAATAAAAATTTTAAGGGTAAGTAATTTTGTTTTTTATGTTCTGGTGCTATTTCAATGCTTTGTGAAATGAAGTATTATGTAAAATTAAGTTTTTTATTTTAAAACTAGAAATGTTAAGATTTATTTTAAATAAAAACTTCATAAAGATTGATGAGTATTATCTTGTGAATTGACTGCATATTTGATATTTAGAGCATTTTAAAATTTTAATGTGTATCAAATTTATTTCACTAGAGGCTTTCCAATTCTCATCATTATGGTATATATTTTATACAATTTTTATATTCATTTATGTCTGTGATTTATCCTTACGAAAAAAATAAAAATAAAAATTGTATAAAATAACAAACATCATCAAATAACATCAAATAACACATTTCAGGTGGTGGAGGAAATTTATATTTAATAAATAACAAATTCAAATATAATTTATTTCCACCAATTGACTTTCTATTCCTCATTTTCAGAATTTGACCAAATTTTGCAATGTATATCATGCTTTACATTACCATGCATCCAGTTACCATGCCAAATTATATAATGTATATAAGGCTGATGAGAAGTGGAAAACTCCAGTTGAAATGAATTTATCACAAGTAAAGTTAAAATATCAACTTCTGACATAATCTAGAATATAATTAGTTCATAAAATCTAATAATTGTTTTTAATGATTATATATAAACTTTCATGAATGTTGAAAGATGTTTTAATCAATGAATATTGTAAAATAATTTTTAAAATTTTTAAATCATTAATTCATTCACTATCTTATTTTTATGCTAATTTAGAAAATTTAAGTATTTAAAATAAATAACTGATTTATATTTCGTAAATTATAAAATGGTTTATTAAGTGGTAGGCCAACTAATTTAATTCTCATTAGTATTAGGAGTATAATATATATAGTGATTACATAAAGCAATTATTTTTAATTTTGTCTATTGTAAGCAAACTTGTCTGACTAAAAATTTCCGTTATGTATTTATTTATCTGTAATCAAGGAATTTTGTGAATGTTTAATTAAATTTCTATAATGTATTCTCCAAAGTAAGTATTACAGAAACTAGAACTTTTAGACTAATGACAAACAGCAGAAACTGCTTTATTGGAGTTAAATATTGAAAAATTTGTTCCTAAATCAGCAAAATTTAGGAAGAACAATTTCTAATTCATATAAAGAATTAAATAATATGCTTCTTCACTTTTAAAATCATGCCTTTCTTTTTGTTGTTTATTCGACACAATGAAGTGTAATTTACTTATGACACAAGGCATTCTTTACATTCTTTATTTCTTTTTTATTGCCGATATGCATTTCGAGTCTATACCCATATGCATTAAAAATTAACCCATTTTAAAACTTAAGTAACATATTCAAAGAACTAAAAGGTATTCAAAATGTTCTTGAACATGCTGCTCTTGACAATATATTTGAAAAAACTTGGGTAGTTTCTAAATATTAATTTAAAAATTTAACTAAAATGCTTATATTTTCTCTTGAAATAACTTTCAGAATTTGAAAGTTCTTGTAATTGACTATTTGTTATTTAATTTCAAAATAAATTAATTTTGTTTAATTTAAAATGACATATAAAGAAATTGTGTACATTTTACAAAAACATTTTCAATAATAGCTTTTCATTTGATATTTGTTGTTTTCATTGTAAGATTTTTATCAGAATGATTAATGTTAATATAAGTAAAAGACTTGTAATAAAGCAATTTTAATTGTACTTATAGGCCTAGTTCATTATTTAATCTTTTTGTTTGCATTAAATAATTGTTTCAAATATTAAATGAAATAGTAGATTAAATAATATTTATTGCATATAATAAAAGTATTATCTGAACTACTACTAAAGGGTGTACCAAAAGTTCTCTTTTATTTAAGTTTTGAAAATCATTTCCTGACATGTTAAAAAAATAGAAGTGTGTATTATTGGTTTCAGAATTGTGATTTTTGAAAGTGTTTTGAACAAATCCATCTGGATGGGGTAATTTGAGCATCATCAACTGAAACTGGAAATGTAGCCATGTTAAGTATGATACTTAACTTGAAGCAAAGAATTACACTTTTGGAAAGCATCAGATCTTACAAACAATGTATAAATATTTCAAAGAAAAAATTTCCCAATTATGTACCACTGAGTGAGCATATTTGTATGACTTATTTGCAGTGGCATGCTGTCCACGGAAGCTGTGGAATCACTGCTTCTTTTGTATTTTGTAAAATATAAATACATATTTGCAATTATTTTAATATTTTAACATACTTTGAATTAATTAGAGTTAATATTTTATAACCGCATTATTTATCTTATTACAAATTTCTATACATGTGAAAAAAATGATAAGATTGCTATTATATATTCCAATATAAATTCATATATGCATATTCCCAATGGAAGTGCCATATTGTCAAACACAGGACAGCCTCCATGGCGAAAATATTTGAATCGTGTAAAGCAGCCAGATTATACACATCTGAGCATGCACTTTACAGAGCACCAACCTCATGTGGTTTAGCTTGTGGATGCTACACACCAAAATATCGTATAACACTTCCAATGATTCTATCCAGGACTGGCATGGCTTCCCTATCATCAATTGTCACTGCACACCACTGCTTATTTGTGAAACCTAGATTAGTTCTTTGATCGCTGCATCATTTCTTTGGACTTGTGGTCACTTCAGTTCCCAGTTTTAAATTTGCCAGATTTATTTTTATAGGCATATCTAAAATATAAAGTTTATAAAAATAATTTTTGTAATTTGAGTGACCTGAAATGCAACATTTCAACAATATCAGTGGATATTATGCCAACAATGTTATGATGCATGAATAGGAATCATTGAATAGATTTCTGTCTCCAGATGGAAAGTGGGCACTTCTAGCATTTGCTGTAGATTTTCTCAGTACAGCTGATGATTTGTACACATGTTTTATTATTTACATTTTGTGTGCAAAGTCATGTTTTATTAAGAAAAATTGTGAAAGATTAAGTAGGGAACTTTCAGTATACTGTGTATAATATATTTTTGAATTTAGATTTTAGAATATTTAAACTAGAGTGAATTATGAAGAATTATCTGGATATTATTAGAAATACATAATTATGAAACTCTCAATGTATGTGAAACAGAAGTTGGTTTTATTTTGAAAGTTATATAATAGAATTTCAAATAGAAGAGAAATAGATGCAGATATTACATAATTTTTATAAAATTATATAAATTTAATAGAATGTAAAACTGAATCTAAATATATAAAATTACTTGTCCTGACTGACTGACTGAGTCACTGATTCATCATTGTCCATAGCAAACCGCTGAATCTAAACAGGTGATATTTGGTACACAATTAGGGTACATAATGGAAACGCACACTAAAAAGGGATTTTTTGAAATTCCCCTGCGGGGGAGAGGGAGAGCATTAAAGCTTAACCAGAAGAATGGTTTCTGTTGTACTATTTTAGATGCGATTTTTTTTGTTTTCAACAACGTTTAGTCTTCATTAAGTATTTAGGTGTATTAAATTGATAACATTTTAAACATTGTTATAAATATTTTCATATATTTTGATTTTTTAACCAAATGTTTCAACCGTTTTAAATTTGAATTTGTTATTACATATTGGTTTGATTATAGAACGATTGTGAACGTTCCAGAAAAATTGATCAAATTGAAAATAGTTTGTTTGATTCTCAGCAATTCTCATTATTCTCAGCGGTAGGTGTTATATAACAATTACTATGGTTGTTGAAATACTGAATATAAATGGGGTTTGCTTGCAAAACCTCCGCGGGTGAAGTCGTCGGTAACAGCTAGTCTTTCAATAAAAACAATGAATATTTCGACAGTGCTACAAAAAATTAAAATGAAGATAACAAAAATAAAAATTATTCTATTTTTATAATTTTAATTATTGTAAGAATTTATGTAACAGCTTCATTTATAATTTAAATTTTTAAATTTTTATACTCTTTTAACACTTACAGTTGGCTTATTTAACCATATTGTAAATTTATAATATTGTAAAGTATTTTTTATATACATTCATATTTTTCTCTAATGTATTTTTATATGTTTGTCTTATGTTATTTTTTAATTGTTTTTTATTATAGATAGTTAATTACATACATACATATGTTATAAATACATATACAAATAAATATATACATAAATACATATGTTGCAAGATCGCATAGCTTATTAGCACTTCACTCGATTTCCTCATTTGTTAAAAAAATTTGTCCATCTTAGTTTGTTTTGATGCTGCTTTTCTGCCTGTTAGATACAACAACCACTTGATATTAATTTTACGTACAGTCTGTTATTTTATGCTGAAACTCAAAAAGAAGGTCTTCATAACTTGATATGACTCATGGCCTTGCTAAATTTCAGCACTACTCTTAAATCGGTGTCAGAATGTTCACTAGGTGGCTTCTCAATTGTATAAGCCTATTGACTCTCTTTGTACAATTCTTCATTTGTACTGTATGTATCCCAGATGTAACAAGTGCATCATTGAATTCTACAAATTCCTGGAAACATCAAGTATTAACTAACTAAACTTGGAAAATAAATACAGTATTAATGAAAAAACATGAAGTTTACATAAAAAAACATAAAAAATGGTTGGGGCTAGAAAAAGCCATTATTGTGAGTTACAGATCTGCTAAAAAGAGATAAAATTATAATGATTTGGTGGGATTTGGAAAAAAAATCCATTATTCCAAGAAGTCCATTGTTCCATGATTCAGTAAAACAAGATTCTACTGTATAGTAGTTAAAATATTTTAAGAATGTATGCAGTTTATGAATTAATCAACACATGAGAACCGTATTATATCCCAGTAACAATAAAACTTTAAATAAAACTAACGTTTTCGACCATATTCATGGTTTACTTCATGTTTTTGGCCAGTATAATTCAAATATGGAATGCGTCAAACAATATATTTAAAATTATCTTAAAATTCTGAACATTTAAAATTAGAATAAAATTTTTTAGCTGAATGTGCTACAATATTGATAAAAATATCTTTACACCACAACAAATAAATAATAAGATGCACTTCATGGTGTAGCTTAGGTTTTTAATGTTGCTCTCGTTTTTTCTCATAGCACCACACCTCCATGCATAAGAAACATTAGCAGCATCCTTTGTGTTAATACAGTTGCTAGCCAGTTCGGCTTTATAAACTTCTAAAGCCTCTAGGTTGCGAAGGTGCTCAACCTGACATGACATTTTTACTAATTTCGCCTTATGGAGGTGGGCTTGTATTTCGGGGTCCATGGCGTAGGTGGCTAGGATGGTGGTATGCCTTTGGTTGGTGATATCATACCTGTGCTTCTGTATTCTTTTGCTTAATGAGTGCTTCATGGATCTGATGTATACAAGATCACATTGGTCTCTGAGGGGGAACCATATAAACACCAGGTGCCTGACTTACCTTGGTCCTGTCCTTGCTGTTGCACAATAGCCCATACACTGTGCTAGATCTCTTATAGGCAATTTTTGTGCCTTTATGAATTATTGGTGATAATTATATACCAAAAAAAACTGTAATTGTAATAATGTAATATTAATGA